TAAAAACCCGGCAGGTCTGAGTAGACAGCGCGATCACCCTGTCCGACACGTGGCTCTACTGTGCCAAGTGGTGCTGGCAAGAGCAGGACAAGGCGTTTCGGTGATGACTACTGAGCCAAGGCGGGGAAGCATTGTGGCCGCCCCATCTCAGTTCCGCGAGTCCATGGGGAAAATTCTTGGTCACGTGAAATCGCGCTGCGCGCGGTGCCGCGACGACTCGTGCTTGGTCGTTCCTCCTAATTCCGCCAGCAAATAGGGGAAGTGTTTTGGCCGTGCTCTTGAATTCCGCCAATACATATAAGGGAAAACCATTTGGTCGTGCCAAACCACGCTCTGTGTGTGTGTGGTGCCGTGAGGATTTGTGCCCGGAGTTGACAACCCTCTCAGCGGACCTGTCCGCGTCCGTCTGAAAGCGTGATTCAGTGTTTTGCAACATATCGTGCCAGAATTGACAACCCTCTCGATGTCCTCGGTGTCCGGGCGGTGCCGCAAGTCAAACAAGGGATACCTTTTGGTGGCTGAATCCCCCTGCAGAAAGTGAGGAAGCATTTTGGCCGTGGTGCCCTGAAACGCTCGAAGGCCACCAGACAGGGTGGAGAAGTAGTGTCGTAAGTGTCTCTAATAGTTGCATCCCGCCAGATCCCGCCAGTGCACAGAATGGAACGATTTGGGGTGGTGCTGTGAGCACGCTGCAAACCCGCCTGACAAGGCCGGGAAGCATTGTGTAATGGTGATTCTAGGACGCTTAATCCCGCAAGAATAGGGGGGGGGAACGAGTTCGGGGGTGGTGGTATATGGGATGCAATACAGGGTTATACTAGAGTTACTAGAGCGATACAGAAGGGATTTTGGAAGGAATTGCATGAGGTGGTAATACTAGAGTCATATAGAAGGGAATTTTGGAAGGAATTGCATGAGGTGCTTGCAAGACATATACAGGGGCTCTTATGACAGAAAATGTAAGGCATGATGTATGGGATGATGTGAGGGGTACCTCAAGAGTTTGTACGCAAGATTATAGAAACGATTGCGCAAAGGAATTGGATGGATGGCGGGATGGCCGAGTGACTTATGTGTCGCGATGGTGACCACCTCGCTGCTTCATACACTGTCGCGACACACGCTCTCTTTCATCATTATGCAATGGGTTGACACCCTTACTTAAACCAGCTCATGATGGTTGATCACACTTTTGAAACCCGCCTCCTCATTAGCCGGCGGTGGTTGGCGGTTGACCCTATGTGTTAACCGGCCCCCTTAAACCTGCCACTTCACCAGGCGGTTGCCGTTGATCATATTTCTTCAACCCTCCCCCTCATTGGGCGATGGTGGTAGATCACGTTTGCAATTTCTTATACGCGCCCCCCTCATTGAACGATGGCGATTAATCCCATTCTGAACCTGCTCCACATTAGGCGATGTCTGATCCCAATTCGCTAATCCTCACCCCTCATTAGGCAATGTCGGCATCACTTAAAGGCCGCCCCTCGGCAGCCGTTGGCAGTTGATCACATTTCCTACACCCGCCGCGAGTTCCTTCCGCTTCCGACTTTCATCCTTGTTTCTTTGCTGTTTTTCCTCTTGCTTTATGCCCTTCTTTCTGCCGCTCCTTCCAGCTATTTTCTTCGTTCTTTCTTGGTTCCTCGTTTGCTTACTTTCCTTCGTGAATTCCTTCGCGTTTCCTTCCTTCCTTCCTTCGTTCTCTCTTGCGCTATTTCCTCATTTCTGTCTTTCATTCCTGCCAGTTGTATCTTTCTTCCGTTCTTTATTTCGCTCTTTCTTCATGTGTCTTGTTCTTTGTTGAATTCTCTCTGTCTTTCTTTTACTCGTCCCTTCCACGTTCTCCCTTTCTCCTTTCTCTATCTCTTGCTGTCTTTCCTCCTTGCCTTCTTCTTGCCTTCCCTCTGTTCTTCTGCCCTGGAAGCAACCAAAACACCGAAGAACACCAAAACATATATAAAATAACACTAACAAAATCACACTAAAGAAATCTACCCCGGTCACTGCTTAGTGGGTAAAAACTGTGAGATTCTACAGCGGGTTTAGCTTCCAAGTAGGATTGGAAAGCTGGTTTCCATAATAATGCTCCACAAATCCCATTGCGCCGAACCAGTTGTCGTCTTTCTTCTGACACCTTACACCCACATGCACACATACAGACAGACCGACAGACGGACAGACGGTCAAGCAGACAAACAAACGGACACACACATGCATGCAATATCGTCCCAATCCAGAACCAAGCCCGACCCACCAACCCCCACTGTGGGAAGGAGCCTGCCGGGCCGGGAAATAAATCATCTCAGTAGTTTTCCCGGGCTTATTTACATTTTAAGAATTGCTTCATTCTCGGCCGCCAGGCCCAACGGCCCCCAAATGTTGAAGATATTTACCTTATTGGTTTGTTGGAAGCCGTGACAGCTGGCCCAGGAGATGTATTCAGGTTTCAGCCCAGCAGGATCATGCAGATTTCCAGGCCTCTCCTCTCGAATATGCTACAGGATGTGAGTCTCTGGCTTGATGCCCCGCCAGCCGTGCCAAGGGAGAGACTCGCTTGCGACAGGTATGTCATGCTGAGCCATGTCACACGCGTCATTTCTTACGCTGGATACTCCAGGACCGAGGTACAGGCCAAGGCAGCCGATGCTCTGAGTTCAGAGCTGAACGACCTTGTTTTCGGGTACCCTAAGCCCCATAGTCCCCTGCACGACCTGGTGTTCAGAGGCTCCCTGATGCGTGGGGTTTTTGCAGCTGTGCCCAAGTCTGCCAGCGGGGCTCGCACCGGAGTCTTCGTTTTCGTGGATCCTCGAGCCATCGGCCTGAACCCGGCCTTTCTGCATGTTGCCGCTGGTGACCTACATATCAGCCAGGTGGTAGGTATCATTGGCTTCCAGGTGCCTACAGGCTTTCAGCTGCAGGTTTCAGGCGTCCCCTTCTCAGGCCAAATCGCCCAGGTGAGTGATGAGTGCACCCTGGCGCTCAGCTTGGTTCCCACTGCGTGTGTTGCTCTGGCTCCTTTGCAAGTGTCAGCTCCCCCGAGCTCTGGCCACCGCGATCTTGCCTCCGTGGGCACGGAACGTAACGAGGCACACGGGGCTCACGCTGCAGCGCGTATCTGGCCTAGAGTCTTCGGACGGGATGACCCTCAACCTCCTGACCCAGAGGCCCACCTTCACCTTGACATCAGAGACTCGGAAGAAGAGGAGAATGATGCTGATCGGGAAGCCTTCATAGATGCAGGTTTTCTGATTTTTGCTCCGCGCTTTCAACCCGAGCATGTCAGGCTTGTGCTTCATGCTCCTTGTGACGTGGACACCGCGTTGAGGGCCCTTTCGGATACACGGCACTCGGCTACCGACTTGTACTTCGACTGCCTGCTGCCAGCGGTTCCACAGCCCGACACGGCCTTTGGCTCTGTTCTCGCCGTGCCACATTGGGATCGTCGGGGCTCTCATGTTTTGGTGGACTCCCGGCAGGTGGACGGGCGCCTTTTCGCTTTGTCCTTCCATGGCCGACTCAGCCGGGCATCATTTCTGGCCAAGGCAGGCTTCAGGCAGATGCATGGCCTTGAAGTTTATTTGCATGGCCGGGCTCTTGACCACAGAGACTGGCACCAGTTTCTGGCCGGAGATACTGTCTTTGTTAGACAAGCAGACGTGCCCTTGCCCCCACCAGTCGCCCTCGCGGACATGCTCCGCGACCGCTATGACTGGTACTATCCGTGCCCAAGGTTCGAAGGCCCACATCCAGTTGCATTTTTCATGCTGACTGATGAAGGCTCCAGAGTTGTAGCCATAGATCCGGACGAAGTCTGCACCACTACAGCCTTCAGGGTGGAGGTTGAGCGCATTTTCGGTTATGACAGACACAACACGTCGGTCTGCCCGATCCAGCCTCGACTGGATGACCTTGCAGTGCTGGGCCAAACTTGCAAGTCAGCCGTCACTGTCACACAGATGATGTTACGTCCTTCTACCTCTTCCCAGCAAGTGTCCCCACAGCTGCATGTGTTATTCTTGGATGCACGCCTCCTTCTCAAGGACATCAGTTGGGTCACTGCTGTTGATGGGCTCATTGAGGTCCAGGCCGTTCTCGAGCTTTTTCAGCGGGATGCACCATTTGGTTTCAGTGTGGAGGCCACAGGAGCACCCACTGAGATACTGGATGGCAGTGCTTACTTCAGGGCACCACATGGCTCGTGCTTGCGACTGACCCATGTCCAAGATTCTTCAGAGGTTGGTTCTTCGGATGGGCACACTTGCAGGGGTCTTGCTTCGGAAAAGGAAGAGTCTTCAGAGTCTTCGTCAGACAGCGCGCCTTCAGCCTCAATGTCCGATGCCACATCTCGACCAAAGGATGCGCTTCCGGGACCCTGCCCAAGAGAGCGCAGCCGTTCGCGGACGCGACAAGGAGCCATCAACGGAACCAGGACTGGAATCTGGCTCGCCGGGCTTGCAGCTGTCCATGCCGCGTCTGCTGTGCCTGCTTCGTCCACTGCAACCTTTTCACCCACAGCTCCTTATGTTCTTTTCGAGCATGCGGCTGTTGAGCCCAGTGGTTATCGCTTGTGGTGTGCAGCTGTCGGATTTGGGCTCATCCTTCTCGTTGGTCTCTTTCTCAGCGTTGCTTTGCGGAGACACAGGCTTTTGCAGGAGCCCTGTGGTAACACCGCCAGCTCCCAAGCACACCTTGATACTTTGCGTTCTTTCGTTCCCCTTCTGGGCGGCCCCTGGCTTCCACGGCTCCCATACGACCTCAGCCACCTGTTGGGACCGGATTTGGATGACCAGGAAGCTCCGGTTGCTGGCATTCGTGAGGAGGTTCGTAGGGTGCAATGCCTCGTCCTGGCCTTTGATTTTGCGCCGAGCGTTCATTCGGTTGACATTTCTCTTCCGGCCACGCCTGAAGAGTTGGTCCTGGCATTATACAGCCTTGCAGGCCAGGCACGCACCAGGTTCACTTGCCCTCTCTGCTTCCGGTCTTGCCTCAGCCACAACCAGGTTTCGCTGCCTTTGTCACTGCGCCGCACTGGCATGCCTCAGGCCATGGGGTTTGTTTTGATTCGACGTTTATCGACAACAGGGTCTATGTTGCCTTTGTGCCGGAGTATGTCGATGCTCAGGAGTTGGTGCACATCGCTGATCTGCCCAGGCAGGCAGGCATTGCAGTCTGGATCGGACCTGATTTGCAGCTCCTTCCACCAGGTCACAGAACACATGTCTTTCCGGGTATGCTGGTCCTGTTCTTGACAGAAGAGACTGAACCTCCGGTGCTGCTGTCGTTGGGTCAGCTTCTGCTGTTGCGGCATGTTTGGGGTACAGATGTCGCGTTGTCCCCTCCTGACTTTGGTCCGGCCTATTGTCTCGCTGGACGAGGGCAAGGACAGCTCATGCTGGCTGACCTACATAATCCGACCAGGTACAGGCGCCAGATTTCAGAAGCCACCGGAGCCAATTTGCATCGCATGCGTATTTTTGCCAGTGACCCACGGCCCTTAGATGTGGCTCTCCAGGGCGTCCCCTGCCGCACAGTTGTGGCGGTAGGAGACAGGAGGCGCACCACGGTGCCGGAAGTATGGCACATGGCCGTTTTTGATTGTCGGCTTCTTGAGCGTGGCTGGTGTGCTGCCTACGTTGTCAATGGAGTGCTCAATGTGGGCAGCATACTGGATGACTTTGACGCTGATGCTCCTCTCGGCTGGCGTACCGTCCTGCTTGGAGGACATCCACAATCGGGCCTGCTCCCCGCTCGTCCAGGCCAGGTTTTTGTGCTGGCGTATACTGTTCGGGAAGGAGGAGAGCCAGCTGCCCACAGCGACGACGTTGCTGCTGCATCGTCCGCGGCTGCTTCCAGTCCGGCTCAGCGACAGGCCGATCCAGATCAAAGCGAAAGCACCGGGGACCCAGAAGCTGCGCCCCTGCTACAACCTACTGTTGCCGGTGGTGCGGTGGTGTCCACTGAGCATCGTTTGCCTTTCCTTGTGCTCATGCCAGAATATGTGCCTGAGGTCGTCGTTGTTCAGACCTCGCTTCCTGTCACGATCGAGGCGGCCTGTGCTTTGGTCGATGAAGCGAGGGATGCACACAATCAACACAGGTTCCCCAGGCTCCTGCCACTTCAGTTGCAGCCACCGTTGGACACGCCCTGTCTTCTTGCGGTGCCTGATTGGCACTTCCCCGGTGTGCCCATCTTGATAGTCAGCTTCGTTCTCCCGTTTCGCCTGTTCACAGTCGTTGTGCCCTCTGTCATCCGTGTCGAGGACATTTTACACTTGGCCAGGATTGAGACCCACGATGTGATGGTTTTCGTGAGGGATCTGCCTTGGGCATCGCCTCTCTCCGACCGACTGCAGGTGCAAGCCGGAGCTCTGTTCACGGTCTTCCCAGCGGGTGCTCCGGTGGTCCCGCCCCTACCGCTATCTGTCATGCTGGCTTCCTCGGAAGGTTGGCGCTCAGCGCCCATTGCCTTGGGTCCCTTCGAACCTGGAGTTTGGTTGTTTACGGAATTGTCCAATTTCAGGTTCCATGTGAACGGCCAGAGCGGGAGACATTTACGGGCCGCAGCAGCAGACCACTTGTCGCTTCCAGAAGCGGAACTCACTTTCTTACCGACCTCGCCAGCTGTGCGAGACCACGCTCGACGCTCGAGGGGGCTTTCCGTCAGATCATGTCTTCTTTGCCCTTCCCACATGCCTCCTGCCGGGGGTGCTCTACGCTCTGGACTTGCGCCCGATTTTGTTGGAACTCGAATGGGCGTACGCTCCCAGGGGGCGCGTCGAGGTCGCTAGCTTATGTGCCAGATTTGCGCATTCCTGCCCCTCGACACATTTCGTGCGTGTCATCGGAGGACACTCCCCTCACCAGATGGCTAATCAGGCTAATCACTTCCGATATGTGCACCCAGGGCAAGTGTTGGTCATTGAATTCTGGAAAAGAAGACCCTGGAGGGCCGCGACGGACCTTGGACAACATCCCGGTCCAGGAGACGAACGTGGTGATCAGGATTCTGATCCTTCTGACCCCGGCAGCACCCACGACGATGACAGTCTTGGGGAGGCCTCTGCTTCTACCAAGCCAGATGCCGGCACTGGCAGCACACAGAGAGGTGCCGGTACTACCAATCCTCCCCTGGTCTGTCGAGTTGTCACGTGGAATTCTGAGTTCAAGGAATCAAGCAACACGCCCTTGCCGAAGGCGCCTCAGATTTCACCCCTGTCCTCCTGCCCCGCCCGTGTTCACGCTACAGGCGGACCAGTTCTACCGCGGCGACGTACCTGTGTCAGGCCCCTCTCAGATATGTGCTGGCCGTCCTGGTGCTCTTGCCCCTCAGGGGTCTGCTGTTGGGCATGCGTTTTCTGCTGCGGACTGCTCCCAGAGCCAGATGTGCCGTTTGCATACTTTGTCTCTACCTGAGCACGCAGTGCGTCGCTGGCATGCGTTCGCCTTTAACCTCAGTGGGTGGCCCAGGTGGTGCTCTTGCTTGCACGGGCCAGGTCCACCAGGCTCCCCGCACCTCTATCCAGGCGATTCCCCGACCCCTCGTTAGCCGGAGGCCTGCTGTGGATGGCCAACATTTGGGCGTGTCTGACAAAGCCCTTGAGGTTCGATCCGGGCTTACGGGAGAATCCACAGTGATGGATGTACAGATAGGACCGACGCTCTTGGAGGAGGCAGTCAGATGTCCAGACTCGGAGGCCTTCTTCCTATCCCGCACCCTTTTAGAAGTGCTTGTAGACTATTTTATGCCACAAGCCTCCGGTACCTGCCAGAAGTGCCCCGCTCAACCGGAGACAGGGCTGCCAGTGCAGGTCCGCCTTTGTGAACGACTCCCACTCACGGCCCACCAGGCCAGTGTGTTGAAGCTAGAAAGTTTGGTGCCTGCGCGCACGTCACTTCCTGGTTTGGATTGGTTAGACACCGATCTAGGGCCTCTCCTACGTGATCCACTCGTTCCTTCGCACAAGCGCCGACTCTTTGAGGCCGTTCAATTGAGCAATCAGGTTCCCGCACAGACCTCCTGCACTCGTCTGTTGGCCTTTTCAGACGGATCCACGGGTGTTGCTACTGCGGCCACGGGCAACTGCGCAGCTGGCGCTTGGGCACTCTCCGTCTGGCTAGAGACCGATTTCGAATTGTAGCTGTGTCGCGTATCCCGGCAGGGCAGCAAGATCCCAATGCAGCCCTGGCCAACTTTACCACGTATTTGCGTCAGCTTGCGGCACAGCGAGTCTCTCTCACTCATGCGCATGTGAAAGGGCACTCGGGACAGCTCGGCAATGAGCTGTGTGACGAGCTTGCCAAGCACTGTCGCCGGCGTCCACCAGCCTCGGATCAGGTCATTCTGCCAGAGTGGCCGGCTAGAGTCTTCGAGCACCCGCTGAAGCCCTGGCTGTGGCTCACCGCCTCCAGCTCTTCGGATTTGCCAACGCTCTTTTCGTTCGAGTCGGAGGCTCTCCGTATGCAGTCGTCTCCCCTTCCGACCTTGTCGGACCCCGGCATGGGTTTTGTGGCCACGCCCAGCTCATCTGAGCCTGTTCCTCTGTGCTGCACTTTCATGTCATACAATGTGCTCTCCCTTTATGACCCGCACTACACAGGCAAAGGTCAAGGAGGCCAAGGTATGAGAGTTGTGGCTAAACGCGACATCCTCAAGCAGCAGCTTAAACAGATGGGTGTATTGTTCCTGGGACTTCAGGAGACACGTCTCCCTAGTTCGGAAGTCCTTCCCGATAAAGACTTCATAATGCTGCATTCTTCCTCGGACCCACAAGGTCACCATGGGGTAGCCTTGTGGGTGGCCAAGCAAGTGTCCTATGCGGTCGTGGCGGACAAGCCTCGCTTCTTGCAACAGGAGCACCTCACGGTCACGGGCCTTTCACCCCGGCACATCACTGTCCAGGTCACGGCCCCCTTCCTTAACTGGACCGTTCTGGTGGCACACGGGCCGTCGGGAGCCAATACAGATGTACATGCTATCGCCGCTTTTTGGGCCCGATGCAGACAGGATGTGGCCAAGCGGCCCCGAGGGTCGGAGGTCGTCGTTTTGACGGATGCTAATGCGTGGCTGGGGTCTGTTCCCTCTCCCTCGGTCTCCGACTATGATTCTGAACCTGAGAATATAGCCGGTGAGATATTTCACCAGTTCCTCGCGGAGATGGACTTGTGGGTTCCATCGACTTTCGAGCTTTGCCACCAAGGGCCCAGTCCTACTTGGACCGCGCCGTCCGACACCAGCATCGTTTAGACTATGTTGCGGTCCCGCTAGGCTGGCCTGTGGATTCTCTCTTGTCTTGGGTCCAGTTGGACTTTGAGGCACTACAAGTGCACCCTGACCACTATCCGGTGGTCTGGCAGGTCAGACTGCAAGCACCTGCCCCCGTAGGCAACACACGGGGTTCCTTCAGACGCCAAGCGGTTCGGCCCACAGTTGGCTCGTCTTCTCCCGTTTATGATGCCCAGCTAGCTGCCGCGATCGCTGCTCCCACTGCGTCTTGGGGCACACATATCGATGTGCACTACAGCACCCTTGTTTCCAGTTGGCAGCAGGCAGGTACCACCCTTCAGGAAGCAGCACCATGCAGGCCGCAACAGGTGTACATACAACCCGCCACCTTGTTCCTTGTCCACACCAGACGGGGCCTCCGTGACTTTCTACGTGCAAGTGATAGAGAGCTGCGGAGAAGGCGCTTGCTGCTCGGCTTTGCGGCCTTCCTGCATGCTGTCCGGCACACCTCCTTCCCTCCCCAGGCTGTGGCTCTCTATGACAGTTGGGTCAGGCAGGCCAGATACGTCATTGCAGGGGCGAGCGGTAGGCTGCGTCAGGTGGGCTTACAGTTGCGAGCGGCACTGCGCCAAGATCGTGCACAGTACTTGGCTGGGCTTGTCGAAAACATTTCCTTTTCGGACATTCGGGACCCTAAGCATCTCTACCGTGCGGTGAGGAAGGCCTTTCCTAGCGCCGCTTCGAAAAGGCGCCGGGCGTTTACGCCTTTGCCGGCGGTTGCAGACAAGGACGGGGTGTTGGCAGCCGATGTCAACGAGCAGAGAGCCCTGTGGAGAGAACACTTTGCCAGCCTGGAGGCTGGTGAGCTCCTACCTCCTGGGGGCTATGCTCAGGCACTCATGCGTCAGAGGGCCGCGAACTCTCTCCAGACCCCGTGCTTTGACTTGGCCGTGGTTCCCACCCTGACTAGTGTCGAACAGTCGGTCCTCGGCCTCAAGCATGGCAAAGCTTGTGGACAAGATGGCCTGACCGCCGAACTCCTCAAGGTGCATTCCCGTGGAGCGGCCAGGGCCCTCTTGCCCGTCTTCGTCAAAGGCATCCTCGGAGTGCAAGAGCCGCTGGAATTGCGGGGTGGGGCTCTTATGCCCCTTGCAAAAAAGGCATCCGCCGCCTTTGACTGCACCAAATTCAGGGCTATCCTGTTGTCATGTGTGCCCAGCAAAATGCTCCACAAGCATATCCGGACTTGCCTCAGCGCCCACCTTTGTCCACAAGACCTGCAGGCAGGGGTCCTTCCCGGTGTAAGCACCGAAGTCATCTCTTTGGCTGCCAAGGTTTTCCAAGCCTTTTGCCATGCCTCCGCCCGACCGTGGGCCCTGATTTTCTTTGACGTCAAGTCGGCCTTTTATAGAGTGGTAAGACAGCTCCTGCTGCCGGTCGGCGACTCGGACCAGGCCCTGCTGGAGCTCTTTCATCGCCTCCGGTTGCCCCCAGCCTCACTTTCGGAACTCAAGGCGCATCTTGAAAGTCTGGCCACCGTTTCCAAGTCTGGTTGCGGGGAGCATCTCCAGCGAGTGGCCACGGACGTGCTACAGGGCACTTGGTTCAGGCTTGACAAAGATGCGGCTCTTACCCTCACACATTGTGGGACTCGTCCTGGAGATGGGCTCGCAGACCTGTTTTTCGGGTTTGCGTTCAGCGCTTACCTGAGAGCAGCGGACGAAGCCCTCCTCGCTGCGGGTCTCGCCACGCCGATGCCTGCTCCAAACGGCACCGAGCCTTGGGAGCTCTCCGTCCCTGGTACCATCAGTTGCGGATCGTGGGCAGATGATTTTGTTCACATGCACTCCCAGCCAGCGGTTGTGGGTCTGGGGCGTGCCATTCAGAAGGTCACCCAGGTTTACGTCGAACAGGCCGACTCCATCGGTATGGAGCTTACCTTTGCCAGGGACAAAACCGCTGCCCTTGTGGCAACCAGGTTCCAGGAGAAGGATGAGTTTTGGCCGCGACACCCCACAGGCACGCCTTCTTTTCTTGAGGTTACCAGTGCGATCAGCGGGATCACTCATAGCCTTCCGGTTGTCAGTGCTTACTGCCATCTCGGAGGCATCGTCACGGCGACCCTCACACCAGCACCTGACATCGGTCTTCGTCATGCCTTGGCAGCCAATGGCGTACGCTCTCTTGGGCGTCGTCTCTTTAGCGCGCAGAAGATCCCACTGTCTACCCGACGGGCACTGTTGCGCTCCTTGGTTCTGTCCAAATTTGTGTTTGGCAGTTCGACCATCAGGTTTGGTGCTGCGCTGCATTTTTGCACCTGGGCCAGACACTATGTCGCCTTATGGCGTGCCCTCATTCCCAGGACACGAGAAGCACGCCAGCCACACGCCTACACCGTCCTTCGGACTGCTGCGGCTCCTTCCCCTCCCTTGGCCTTGGCTCGTTCTGTCCTCCTCCGTCAACTGGCAACCAACGGACCACGTACCCTGCTGAGATTGCTTTGGGTTCAATGGGAAGCGGATCCTGCAGGCTCTTGGTTGGGCTCCGTCGCAAGCGACGTGTCGCATGCCTCTCTTTACCTGCCAGCAGCACGAGTCCTGCATGCTTCGCCCTGTCCGCTCAAGGCTCTGCTTGAGGCGGTCTGGGAAGACCCAGGCTGGTGGACACGCCAGCTCAAAAAGGCCACCAAGCTCTGGCTCACCGACCTGGAGTCATGCGCTTCTCAACCCTCACCAGCACCTGAGCCAGCCGCTGGCCAGACCGCCCCGCCTGCCGAGTCTTCCGACAACAGCCAGTTCTTCCCTTGTGAGTTCTGTGGTGCCCTTTTTCCACTGAGGAAACATTTGACAGTGCATTTGGCACGCCGTCATGATGTCATCTCTCCTACCCGCCTTCTTGCCTCTGGGCCAACCTGTGTTGCCTGTCTCCGGCACTACCGCACGGTAGCGCGCTTGCAGATCCACCTTAAAAGGTCTGGTGCCTGTTTGTACCGTTCTGCGTGTCTCTTCCCGCCTCTCGCCATGGATGAAGTCAGGGAAGTAGAGTCTCAGGATAAGGCTTATAAGAAGAGGGTTCTGCACGGGCATTGGGAGGACTTTGCGGCTCCCCCAGCGGCTTGTCAGGCACAGGGGCCGCAGCAGATTACTGCCGGCGAACGAGTCGAGATTGAGGGTGAAGAGATCGCACTCGGTACACTCTCTCGCCTGTTTCATCCCTGTCCTTCCTTCTTGAGGGACATCGAGGCATATGTGGATGGTCGCTCCACTGAAGGTCCACGCGGCTGTGCCGTTCGCTTCTGGGATCGCAGGCCACACTGAAGCCTCTGAGTTTCACCCGCACGCAGAATTCAGGTTTAGAGGACGCGCCCGTCGCGGCACAGGAGTCCATCAGAAGAAGATTGTTTGTTGGTGCGCTCAGGGCCGGGGATCAGAACAGAGTCTACTTGGCAAGTCGCTCGAATGCATATTACGGGCAATATGCTGGATGAGAGCAGGCAAAGCAAGCATGAGTCGATGCTTGCACTCTTCCGTGTAACTTCTCCGTACGCAACAGCAAAGAAAGATGACTTCCGTGATACCTCCCTACTACAACTCAGACTTACCCAAAAAGAAGGTGCTTCCTTAAGGATTCACATTGATGTTCGGCAACCTTGCAAAATGTGAGTTTGGTGGCACATATTAGCTGGTTGCGATACGGTTTGCTGGTTTTGGTGAAACAGGCCCAGTTGCGGTACACAGCTGCTCGTCCTCCCCCAGGCCTTGTCCCTTCGGCCCATCCCCCGCTCCGTTCGTGTCCCCCTTTGCTTGGCATTGGGCGGGACTGGTCCTCCCCCGTTGGAATATCGCGATGGGACGATATACGGAGAAAATGGAGGCACACATGACCACGTCAGCTCAAGCTCAGAAACGAATTGGGCCCGCAGAACTCCAGAAAATCCGCATGCCGACGGGTGAACTTATGGCTCCCTTTCGATATAGATACCGGCCCGCAAGACTAGGAATTGCACAGAGGGTTGCATGCAATGAATTCACAACGTGTGAAAGCATTCCACATCAAACTAATGCAGGAAACAACCTTAAGCCAAAGTGTATGCCAGATGTTGAGAAAAGTGCCAAGCTTTACGCAGACAACTGCAACTCTCCAAATCTCTCCAAGACGCAGGGCAGCCGCCCTCGTTGAGTGAACAGCAGCGGCGAATCGTGAATCCGAACGCCTCGAGCCATGCATTGAACGCTATCTATTCTTCATCTCGAACAGCAGTCAATTGCCTGATCTAACAGCGCTGATCAAAAATGCCGAAATACCCGTCCAAGCCCTCACCAGAAGAAGCTTCAAACGACCATGCTGCATGTCTGTCAAGCAAAAAGAGCGAGACTTTGAGAATATATTGGGCAGCGACAACGGTTAGGATCGCCGTCATGGCGAGGCAAGCAACCTGGAATGCTCAAGTGCTTCTTGCAAGGACGCGACCGCACGAGCTTGCCGCAACGCCTGCCCGTTCTTGGATAGATTTCTGGTCCACGAGGTTGCTGCCTGGTCGCGGCAAGACATAAACAACAGCTGTGATGTCTAGCTGCGATGCCTTACCCCTGCAACGATGGTCACCTCGTTCACAGGCATGGGGCTGCCCTGCTCATAGCTTTGTGCAGGCTCCTCGACAGCTGCTCATATGTGAACAGCAACATCCTCTGACTTGATTCTGGTGAAAACAATATGCGCGTAGTCATTGCGTAAGCGAGCTAGAGCAATACTGCAGGCAACAAGGGCAGGAAAGCACCGACCGCCACACCCGGACAATCGGTGAAGGTGTAGTTGCAGCTTCAGCAAGTACCTAACGCGAGCATGAAGAGAAAGCAATAGCAGATCTGAGCTTCAAGCAGAACAAGCACACGTGGAGCATTCGCCTCAAATCAAATCGCACCCATGCTAGAAAGAGTACCATCGATGTTGTGGGTTGAGACCGAGCAAGTGCAGGTTACGAACCAGGTGCAAGTTGTGTGACTGGGGGCTACCGGGTCAGCGGTCTGTGGTTTCTCTGAAGCTGAGAGACATACCCGGGGCATCGCACATCTGCTGCCTTGCAGGAACATCCATGAACCGAGAAGACTCCCTACCGCTACGGCAACAACTTTTGACAAGGGTAGCGCCCGCCTCGACAAGCTCACAGCCCGCCTGCGAACACCGCCCAGTGCTCAAGCCAGCGGCTGCATCATCGAAGGCCATGATTTCAACTAAGAATTATAATCATTATAATTATAATTAAGTACTGTTGCAAGGTGCGACTGGTAACGACCAACAATGAATCCAGCTGCTTGCACCAAATCAACTGGCAAACGGTGTTAGCATGCCTAGCATCGAACAAACATGAGTGTCTCAACTCCCGTTTACCACAGACATGATCCAACTGTGCCCGACCTTGTGCACATGTACTCGCTTTGAGCAGTCAGTCAGGCACCTTCTGCGCAGTTGCTTCGCCTTTTTGCTGGTTCACTGTGTGCAGCGCTGCAAATTGCTGCGATCCGTGGGACATGTTGCCCTGGTGAGTTTGCCCATGCCAGCTTTGCATGTGACAGCAACTCGCTAAGCGTCCAAACACAATACTGCGAGCGGCCTCCACCTTTCGCGAAGTCAGCAGGAGCAACACCAAAACTAGCCGAACGCATCGACTCTGGATGTCACCATGCTCAACTGTACAGCCA